TCGAGAATTTTGATTGTGCTGAGAAATGGTGATCCACTGACCTTTCAAGGGTTTGACTGTGGCAAGGTTTTTTTCACCTGGATTTCCGCTCAACATTGTTGTTGTGGTTTTTGTCAATGTTTCACTCACGTTAGGCTGTGTTTTGATCAGGCGCTGGTCCATCCATGTGTAAATATTATTCGTACTCCCAGCTGGTTTCCCTGCATTTTGGTCTCTTTCGTGTTCTCTTTACTAGCTCTATCGTTTCAACTGTAACCTGGAACATTTCCGGTGACAGTAAAGCCACCGAATAACAGTGAGCAGTCATAACAGCGCAGCGATTTCCGCGTTTATTATTCACTGCAATCAAGTAGCTTTTATTGGTTCGACTACGTGGTACTACTATCCCGTTTGTATGTGTATCTGGTTTGCTACGTATGTGTTTGGGCAAACTTGTCAGTTGTGACGCAGAAATGGCCTTTTTCTCTTTTAGTTTGTTAGGTAAATGCTCTGCGTCTTTATGGTTATGAAAGTTAGAGTCCGCATCGCATCGCTTTTTCGTCAGAAAGAAGCTGACTCTACGCAATCCGACGGTGACACCGCAGCCTACCCAGCCTAACGTTGATTCCTCATCCATTCAGCATACGGGCGATGTCAGTTTGATGGGCATTCCTCTTATCCGATCGGTCAGGTAAGCTTACTTTATTTTGCTGTGTTGAATGACCACGCTACTCGTTGTTTTGTTAGTAGTGATTTCACAGTTGACATTCTATGAGGATGCGGCTATTAGATGTGTCACCTTTGCATTCCCATTTGAATAGGTGACTGCTCCGCTTAGCCGTTTACTCAGTCTGTCATCCATTCGGCTTTCATCCATCCGGACCGGAACTAGCGCAATTGTTTCTTTAATGGCCACGTTGGCCAGCGAATTGACTCCTGGCCACTACAATGAACTCGCATTCTACAGCTACTCCAAGTATAAGAACCGTCTTAGGGTAGCCTGAAAACCTGATTATGGTAGCACCGTGAGGGTACGGTGCTGCCCTGTCGCCTTGGATACTCGGTTTAGGCCTGATCTGCTAAGTTCGTTCTTGTATCCTAGCGCATACTCAACGCGTCCTGTTCATTTATCTACTGCTTTTCCAAATGGTGTTATTCAACAGTAGCATTTCGTCCGTCTAAATGCCACTGACCAGTTGACCTTTAAAATGCCATTCCGTTTATTTGTTTTCATTGCCTTACATATTCCTGATGTGAAAGCTCCCATCCCCTCTACTGTGAATATATCTGGTTCGCCCTGCTATCCACTGACCCAACTATTAACTCTAGCTTTCAGGGTCACGCATCTTCTGCAGGTGCATAGTTTGAAAACATCGTACGGATGAAGGTGGAGTGGTGTTTAGCCTGCTACTAATCAGAGGTTTTGCTGGTTTGTTGACTATGGCTCAAAAATCGACGCACTTTGTTACCCAGTCAGTTGGTTACATGGAATGTTGTTCATCGACGAGGTTAAGAACTGTCCTCCAAACCTTTCTAAAACGGTTACTTTTAGGTGGGTTTCATGCACATCCACGTTGGCTGAATCACAGGATTTGTTCTTCATGACTTGATGACTAACAAGTGACTGTTCGTCTTTCCATGCGACCATAATCCACCCACATTGAAGTTGTGATTTTTATCTTTTGCACTGTCCGCGTTCGTGTTCGGCCAATTTTTTCAAATTCCGATTTTAATTTGTTCACACTGAGGAACCGATTCATTATGCTAATGCAACACATTTTAAGAAAGCCATCGATGACCGGAGCATCACAGGGTGTTTGTAACGAAAAACCGACAGCTTGGTCTGCTCAGCTGCTCTAACATGGTATTCACGGAGAGGCTACAGGGTCAGCTCTACATAATTCAGCTAGTTATGTGACTTTCATGAGTCACATCGCATCATCCGTAGTAACGGGGAGCAGGCGTCAAGAATTTGCTCAGTAAGGACTAGTCAACTCGCTAGTTGGCGAAGCACTGACAGTGGTGGTCTGAAAGTGGCTTTTTCTTACCGCAATCCATTCTATCATTTATACCCTGTCGAAAAAGCACACAGGGCAGAGGTGTGCTGAATTAGCGCACAACTATGTGGACACATTTAGTTCTTCTAGCACCTCACGAAGCGAACTGACGTCCACGGCCCCTTATTTGAGTTGATTTCACCGGTGTGTTAATAGTCGACGCAAGTCAATCATTTGGTTTTACCACGTAAGTGGCAACTATGCAAAACAGGCTCAGCTTTGTCCGCATAACTTTGAAAGCTCCTACACCGCTACGAGAAAACGGCAGGAACTATGCTAACAAGTTTATCCTCGAACAGAATTTGCTGGATAGTTTTGTAATAGAAGCAAACCGTTCACGAGCCTCTCTGTAAGCCAGCTGGACGGTTTCGTTAGCTTACAGTGCAAGACATGCAGCTGTGAACTTATCACTTCGTCAAAACCACTGTCTGAGTTTTATCTTGGGGAGTTCTTGTATCTCGTATCTCTGAAATTGACCACTACGAACAGAGTTATCCATTAGTTTCCTAAATTCCGATGCTTTATTCGCCCACAGTGGATGGCACCTAGTTTGATCTGGGTCGTGCTAGCGCTTCCGTACGTATAGTGGGATAGGGAATGAAGTTTTTATCATCTTGGTGCTTGTTAGTCGTTACAACATGCACATCTCTGGTGAAAACGGGATCAATTTCAAATTGAATTTCAGTTTTGATAACGCAGGTATTCAAAGCGAGTTATCTGAACTTCTAAAGTTAAGGTTTTAACTTGTCAAATGGTGATCCACGGGGTGCACGGATGAATCGCTTGTTTAATTTTCCTTGGCAACTTTGATTGATGTGATATTCGGATGGTGTACGAGATATATCAGTTGAGGTAGACCGCAAACTCTGGATGTATCGACTTAAAAAACCTACTAGGTCAAGCCGAATTCATCAGAAATTTGGGCCGTTTATTCCAAGCAAATATTATAGGCCAAGTCTCAGTCCAGTGCAAGCGTCATTGAACGGATTTTTTTAAATCGATGGTTAAGCACTTGGTGTTGTGTTCAAGGATAGTTTAATATTCAGGTAGTCTTACAAAAACCTTCCATGAAAGGAGTTGTCGAACCGACTCGTTCCTGTTTTGACCTCACAGGGTTCTACTCGGAGCTGCATCAAAATCAAGCCGTTCTCGGGACGCCATTAAAACGCCATCAAGATAGATAACTCGGAAGAAGCTAGAGTCAAATAATTAAACTCGGATTCTGAAAAAAATGCGACGAATCAATTCTCCATAAACTAAGACATTTTGTCGTTATTACTATTGCTAATTTCCTGATCTTTTAAAATTTGCACTGCGGACACTCAAGTTGTTTTGGCGCATGATTTTCACGTAGAGTGCGTGCTGCAGAGGGGGGGTAGCATTTTCTAGGTCTTGGGCAAGGTGAAATCGGACGTCCTGGAAATTCTATATAGTCTTGGTTGACCAAACAATAAGAAATCCAGAGAAGCGCAATGCTGCGCCTCAAAAAATTTGCTGGGGCATTATCTTCATTGCCAAAGTACATCTAGCCTCTGTGGATTTAACTTACAACGAAAAGGGCTGCAAAATATCTATTGAAGGCTGCGCTATTTTTTGCCCGCTACGTACATAAATCTAGGAGAATTCTGATTTACTGGTAAGTTTTCTTACCGACAGGAAGGAGTTGGACGATGCAGCATACTTCTCACGGATGAATGAGCTCTATGGTGATCTCAGTCAAACAAGACAACTTGGGCGGCACGACATTCTCCCATTACAATTTTCCTTGGGGATGGAGGTTTCTCAGAGCCACATAAAGACGACATTTGATTTTAAAAATAGTTGATTCCGCGGTCCTACTACAACAGAAGTGCCCGTAAAGTGGTCGACAAATGCGCCGAATGACTGGTGTTAAAGCAACTGCTGATTTGCACCCCTGCTGCGTACGTCGATACTTCTACGTCGGATTTAATTTGTCATAGCGGGCAGTTTAGCTCAGAAAGCTCAGAGAGTACCGTTCAATGAAGTATATCGGAGCAGACAACTCAAATTGATCGTGGTCTCCATGTTACTTTATTCCCCAGGAGGAAATGTTTGGGGTGGAGAAACTTGCGCCATTATCTTTTTTGAGTAAATCTATGTGGCACAATAACCCCCCTTCATAGTGACCTAGGTGACAATGATTGGTGATCTCTGAATCATTGCGTAATATTAATGAATATCCGAGACGCTGATATTTCACGGTTGCAAAAGCTGGTCAGAGCAACTTGGACAAAATTGGGCGATATGATTGTTTCTAATCGGTTATCGCGAGGAAACGTTCCCTCTTGGAAAATACCTTTGTGTACTCCTGTGGAATAGTGTGCCCGATCGGTTTGGTTTGAATACCTTACAGACCTAGACGGCAGATAAGCCAGATTCAAATTACGGTTAAGTACAGCCAAGTAAATACGGAGCGAGTCCTTTTCAGGAGTTACCTGAAGCACATTTATAACAATAAATACTTGTGACAGAATGTTACTGCATTACACATAGGAATAAATAATGATTTGAGTTTTTCTAGTAGATGATTTATCACTTGTGTCGGTAGTGTTAAGTGTAATGCTTTACGAGTACGTTCGACCAAGATAGGATTGTGTGCCCCCGTTTGTTTCATTAAAAGTTGAACCTTTGTATTCATTGGACAGTTTTCTTCTACTGTGAATTACTAACCTGTGGAGGTGTAAGCCCAGGGGTCATATCAATAGAGGAACTGGTAAATCAATTAGGGCTTCAAAAGGCCTATCTTTCTCAGTAATAATGCAAGGTGTCTAAGTAAATTAACAAGCTTCTAAGCATTGGGGTTTTATTTGAAACATTTTTGGTTAGCAGGCATGTAGAAACAATTGCGGTTTGTGTACATCCTACTGCAAATCCGCTGCTGGAGCCTAATAACTGGCAAAATTCGAATTAGAAATGAGGTATACACTCCAAAGTCAGTAAATATGCGAGTAAGCTGAAGGCCACTGACATGAAAGCACGAATATAATCAGCGCATAGACAAGCGGTTTTCCCCAAGTTTGTTGTAGCACAACATCATCCGGTGGCTGCCCGAGGGACCAAGATATCTACAAAAAATAAACGGTTTTGTTAATGCAAACTACGTAGGTATTACTGTGATATTAACTGCTATGATGTAAAAGATTTCAGCGTACAACTAAGAACGCCTCGCCTAAACACATCGCAACTTCTAAGACTCCACTGATCTTCAGCTAACTGAAAATGGGAGTTATTTAAGGCCTTTGCTTATAACATTTATGTCGTTCAGCTTCTCGCGCAGTTTTCCCAAGAGCTCTTGAATTGTTTTAGACCAAGCAGAGGCGGAACAGATTACGCACAAAGCTCACGTGTTTGTATGTGACATGGGGAAAGTCTTCTAGGAGTTCAGCTGGTAGACTTAGGTAGCTCGGGTTTACCTACTGGAGATTTCTACGTTTGTACCTAGCGTATCCCACTTGTATGTGCATTAAGGTTCGACACTTTCGGTCTGGCATCAGTCTTTCATACGTGTCTGAGCTGCACAATATTCTGTACAGCACACTTCGAGCTGGAAGCGACGTAGTAAAGGTGCACATGTACGTAATGTGCATCGGTTCCAAAATTCTGAGGTACATAGAAGAAGCAATTAGCTTTTAGTACTGACTTACCCAACTTCACACTCTTCAGGTTTGAGCAAGTGATCCGTTTGTGCGTTGGATACCTACCTGGATGTTCAACATAAAAGAAATGTGAGATTTTTGGTCGGTGATATTACTGAAGGAATGACCGTGAGGGAGATCCACAACAAACAGGCGACTTTTGATATCGAGTGGGCTTATAGGTGAGGTCGAATTTGCCTAAACCACGTGCTCATTATTGGCACTTAGGGTTAACCGTTGACCCAAACGATATGTATTTCACAAGCTCACGATTCGGTTAGTTCATACAAAGAACCCAAGCAATAAAAAATTAAGTTCTATCTGAAGGGCTGATTGGATTGAATTATAATCACGCGCTTTTAACGTCTAATTTAGTTAATTTCTTTGTCTATAAAGAGTGGGTGAACTTACGCAAGAATCCATGGCTCTCTGCGATTAACTTAGTTTTTCTGGTGGAGTGTCGTTCCGCTAATGTCCCCACTGATTGCTCTCCTTACCAGTGTCACAAGTGACTCGATCAACTTCCCGACCCAAGAAGTGAACAGCAAGTTGAGTGTACGATCTACTTTGTTGTCATTCCTAGGTCTTCGCGTACCCACATTCCTACTTTCAGCTTTTTATATGCAACAGCCGCAAAACTGCTGTGCAATTTCGTGTTTTTTATGCCGAAGTCACGTAAGTTGATCGAATATTACTATCAGGGTTTGAAATTAGTCTGAGTACCACAGTTGGATAGGAGTTATACAGAATCACCCGGTCCATTCGTTAAGGGGAATGATTGCACATGCACTAATTTAAATTGGCTGATATAGTGGTCATAACAGGAAAAAGTTCTCACGCACGATAGCAATCTCCAAAAACAGATTAGTCATAATTTATGCCTAACAAACACAGCAGTTCTTTTACCCTGCAAGCGAAATCTCCGGAAAACTGTCAAAAAGGAACTCAATATATTTGGTAGGCTATGACGCGCGATAGCTACCCAGGAGCTTAAGTGGATAGTATATATATATATATAGTAAGTGTATTATATAGTATGTCAGTGTTACCTTGAGTCGTAACGCGCGTCAAAAGTGTACTGTCAATCGGGTCATCCTTCCACTCATCCAACTTGCTGGTATCAACACGATAACCATCAAAGTTAACGTGGAACGCGACACTAAGCTTCTCTCCCTCGGACACCAAGTAATCCACTGTTGCTGATTTGTAAACACGTGCATCTGTAAATTCCCCTTTCATTAGCGTCTTGATCTGTTTGGAAGGAAATATAAAGAAAAGTCACTGTTGAGAGCAAAACCTGCGGTAACCGTTTGAATTTGGAATGCAACTGAGAATTTTCGGGCAATTTTAATGTGCATAAGGTAGTTGTGTTTGGCGTTTCACATGAAGGAGTTCCGTCTGCCACTTCTAACTGTTCAGAAAGAGACTGTCAAATTCCATAGTGGTGATAAACTACGGATAGAGTATTTCAGCAGGGCATAGGGACTTGGCGTTACCAAGGCTTACAGGTCTGATTAGAACAATACACGAGAAGCACAATCAATGCGACCTGGTCGCGCTCAAATTGAAACTTTCAAGATTAACTTGAGCCAGTTGCTTACAAAATTTTCCGGTTGACTTCATTGTGATACGAATGGGATGCCAAAAATTTTATGGCATTAACCGAAGGAGTATGAAGTATTTTTAGGACCGATTTGTTGTCTAGACGAACGTATTGAAGGCATGTCCTCTAAGATATGCCTATAGATGCTATAAATGATGCTTCAAGATCGCAGACGCCTTGTTTTCAGTCGTGACTGCCATTAAGCAGTGGTTGTGGAGCTTGACGTGAGAGACCTGGCAAGTCATGAGGAATGTATATGCAGTGCTTCAAATACAAAATGGTCTCACTTCAGAATTTATCCTGAGGCATGTTTAGCAACCTCCCCCCCCCAATATTCCTAACGTTTACACTCCACGAAGATGAGCATGATTCTAATGCTGGCTGAAAACATATGCAGGAAAGGCAACAGTGATTGGAAGTTTACGTCTTACGGAGTCATAAGTGAATGAATTTTTCTCGGACGCAACATACTACTCATTAAGTTGCTGAAAACTCTTCGACAGCCGACGATCAGTTTCGTCTTTCTTGCGGCTCATCAGGTAGGTATGGTCTTCGAGTCACTGTCAATTTTTCGTTCAACCTGAACCCAAATTGCACAGAATTCGACAAATGCATACCAATTTGGTCTTCACGGGAGATTCAGCTGAATTCTAGCATCTCAAGTCAGCTTGCAATCGAACACTGGATCTTAAAGGATATGTTGATGTAGATTGAACGGGAACCGTAAACCTAGTGATGAGTGGGACTTGTTAAACAGGTTGAAGTACTCAGTGTCAGGTCAATAAGATACAAAAAACTCAAAAAGAGGGTGGATAAATTGTGCAGTGAAAGCACCAGATATCTTTACACGTCCACGACTACGAGAGGCTAGTGTTTATCGGTGAACCCATGGTCGTCTGATCTAGGGGTGTCTCTTGTTACTGAAAGGTATTTGCACGTTGTACCTAGCCCAACTCGAACAAGAATCATAAACTAGTTTGCTTACTTAGGAATCCTAATTCAAGTCGTTGGTCAAGCATTGTCTACACCGCATAAGAAAAGTTTGCCGTAATGGAGATTCGCCTTACTGTGACCATCGACCAAAAATGGACCAATGGTGTCGAACAAAGCTCCTGCATTGTCGAACCCTGCATTGTCTAGAAGTCAAAATAGCCAAGCCAACTACCAGTTTGGCACACAATTTCTCGTAATTCATGATGGATATATGCACAAACAAAGCGACTCAAATCGAGCATAGGAGCGAGCGTTATGTGGTGTATGTATGTTATATGCGCTTCACCACTGCTCAAAAGGCTGTTGAGGTATGCAAACCGATTTCGGTGTCAAGACTTCAGCCAATGATGTCGAAACTGGTGTCTCACGCAGTCAGCATATAAACCGAACAAAGTAGACAGTCAGGTTTATACATTTTGCCACTAGACCACAATAACAAAAGCCATGAATTCAGTAGAATTGGGTGACGTTATTCCAAGTTCAGCTTCACGCTGGATCCCCAGGGCAGTGCAGTGACTCTGGTCATAAAATGTAAACGACCGAAAGATTTCCTCCCGATGTGATTCGTGTGCTTCATGAATTAGAAACAGCATTCTAATTTTCCAACTGGTTTCAACTTTTATATCCTGTGACAGAAATGTATACAGTTCCAGCAGGCCGTAATTCGGTTAGTGTCACCATAATTGTGCATGTTCTAAACGTGAAAGCTCTCTTGTTTTTGCATCGCAAGGGGTATCAGCAGCAGCTTGTTGTCAAATGTCTCACAGATTAAAACCAGTGCCCATATTAATCAGTCACAAGTCAAACCTCCACGAATTCTGTCAAACTTTAGCCGAACATGCAGGTACAACACCACAGTACGTTGCCTATCAAGTCTAAGTTATTAAGAGCTGTGCTAAACACTTGGGGTGACGAATTAGCCCATATTATAACAAATGTACAATGAAAATCGGCGCTACAGAATATGCATATTCACGAATGAGCAAAGTGCGAAATCGGTGCCTACCTTCAAATCACTTGACACATTAACTGATGGATTTTTACTTTGAACGGCGAATTATGACGGGGAAGAAGTTAATCAAGGCGCATACTGTCGCCAAAAAATCACAAAAACGATGGCGAAAAAAATACTTTGAGTCAATCAGGTTAAATAGACGGGGTAACGTGCTCTACCTGGCAAAAAATAACGAGTAGAGAAGAAACCTGAATATGACCCATTTAACCCGGATCTAGTTAAATCTTTCTCAGTAATCTTTCGAAGAAAGACGTGATTTCACACCACCTGGTGAACAACCATCGCTTTAATTGCACCACTTAACGACAGCCTTTGTTCATCTACACGAGGTACGACTGCGGACTGACAAAGGCTACGCCTAAGGCAGAATATTAACTATCTGTAATATCTGTGTTTTGCGAGTTATCCAATGTCGAATACAACTAGGAGATCTCCGAAACGTCTTGCCTTGTACGTCCACACCAATCCATTAGTTTTGTTAGCAGACCATAGTTATGGGTAAAAAAAAGTCAGCAGCAAAGTCGTATCAGACTAGTCAAACCGGAAGTTTAGCAATACAGTACGTAAGAATGTTCTCAGTTAATTCATTTCGATGAATTAAGTCGATGGGCAACGAATGAAACGGGGTCAACAGAATTTTTGAGAAACTACTGGGTACTCAGGAAAATAACTCTGGAATTATTGTTGGGCGTTAAGACTCGTTCATAAAAAGCGTTATATTTTTTCAGAAGAAACACCTATACTATACTAAAGAGAACATTCTTGGCCATACACATCCTCTATGACGACGAAGCACAGAATATGAGCTGCCGACCGAATCCCAGGAGAGACGGATATCAACATAAGCATTCACCTTTCTGGAACAGTATTCCGTGTCCAGAGCTCGAAATCAATGACTACGCTCTTCACATCTGAGTCCCATCGAAGATATGTTATAGGTACAACTCACTTGCATGGTACTGGAATTCCTCTTGGGAAGAGTCCCCGAGACCAGCAAGTAGTAACGAGACCATACTGGAAAGATGATTTTCTGAAGGTACAGTACTCTAAATCCTTCACAAAGCGGTAAGTGAACCTTCCACCACCACATCAAAGTTTGTCAGACAAACGCGTCCACGTAGTTATGTTTAAGCTGTTTTTTCGTCTTCCATAAGCTACTCTGTGTTCAAGTCAAAATGACGAACAGTCCATATGTTTCTATGTGCAGACGAAATGTTAATGAACCTACAAACGACAAGTTAACGGCTACTTGACTAACTTTTTTTCAACATGCCTAGCAGAAATCTCAATCTGGATCGCCAGTCAGTGTCTAGTTACGATGCCTAGAAAGTTGTGAACATAAATTACATGAGGTACTGCATATCAGCTGCAGACTGACTATAGCCACACGTTTCTTCTAAGGCTTCCTTTAGTTATGCATAAACGCTTCCAGTGAAAAGGCGATTTGTCGTTGCGACCATCCAAACTCCAGTTGGTGAGTGACACCCCCCGTTTTGGTGTCTCAGACCAAGAAACTAAAACACGCTGGTCAGAGCTTTCAAGCCTTCTGAACGGATCGCACGGCCGTTCTGTTAGACGTGAGGATTTTCTAATTATGATGTGGTTGTAACAAACCAGCACTCACATCTGACCGGAGTTGTGATTCCAAGTTCTTGTTTGGCCTTTCTTCAGCATTCAGCAAACTTGCCATTTCTGGTGTGGTCTTCAGTTCAGCTTTGAAGTTGGCAACTAAAAAAGACAAATAGGCTATTCTGTATCTGTTTAGAAGAGTATTCTGATTTTGTGAGAACTTTAGTAGGTATGCCAGTTGAACTGGTAGAAACAGTTAGGATCAGGTGAATAATCAGGTTACTGTGTTTCATAAGAAGCGATAATTGTTACAAGACAAACAAACATTAGGAAAAATCAAAATACCGTTCACGTGCAACACAAATAGTGTTTATCACTGGACGATTATGAGTTTTGAGTTCCACGTCAGTTTCAATTTCGTGAGCTTCTGCTTTACAGCTGGGTGTCTGCAAAACGCCTTCAAATTCCCAACACTTCAGACGATGGTGTATCCAAAGCATTGTTTACTCTTAATACTTAACCGCCAAAACTCGCGCAGTCCATGGTGTGGAAAGTTCGACCTTTATACCTCAGTCACTAAAAATCACGAATGCGTCTGTGGCACCAAACGTCAACCAGAGGTGGTTGGCTGACCCTGACAGATCTGAACAAAAAACCGATGCTGGCACTGTATGTTGTTCAATGAGTTCAGGAGCTGTTGAATCTTCGTTGGATTATTTGTTTAAGGAATTTGATTCAACTTGATACACTGAAGTCACAGTGCACCCATATAGTATACCGGGTAGTATGCGAAGGAGCTGCCAATACCTTTGGAGGGGGGTTGGAAGTAAAATCAAACTGTCCTTGGCAGACATGGAGGTCAGGTGGCAACGATATCTCCAAGAATACCCTTACATTTCCACATATAAGTGATTTTTGTATAGACAAAGCCACTCTGTGCCCCTGTAGTTAAGTGTAAGAAAGTAAGTAGTGTAAGAAGGTGGCAAGCAAAACTGAACAAACATTCCCGAAACCGACAAGTAGTTCGCCAGGGTTATTCCTTTGTTGACGTCCCCACTGAGTATCATGATAAAAACAGTGTTCATTATAACAATAATGATGATCATGTGGATGATACTGTCATGTCCCATGATTGGAGTTCCGTTTCCGAAACCGGGCTAGTTGATTTGTGAAAAGCAAATTATGATTTGCACTGCAGGTCCATGAGTTTACGGATATGTATGTAAGTACGTGGTACGTCCTGAAGGTTGCTTTGAGACAATCTGAACAAACCCACCTCTTCTGAAGCTATTTATGGACGTTAATTCCTCTGGTTATTAATTCTGATAATAATATATGCGACATACACGAAGAAGGCTGTTAGCGGTTAAACCTGAATTCGAATCAGTGTTATTTTGCTTGGTGATTGTTACAGAATGCCGATTGCTTAAACATGGAAGTCCACACAATATCAATTTCAGGAATGAAGTAGCTGGTTTCATCCACCAAATCGTATTTATTAGAATCACCATAGAACAAAGTGCTCTACTATATTGCTGTGTAAAGCCAACGTGTGAAGCCTATTATCTCCCTGAAAAGTTAACCTAATTAGTTGTCTTGAAAGTCGCCTATTAGATGAGACCCTGCAGATGAGCTCACGTCTTACAAACAACGAAGTCTCCCGTGCGTTTGACGGAGAGCCAGGCGGAACCACTTTAATTCGATAAGCTATAGCTGCCTAGTTGATAGAATGTCTCACTGAACACTGATAGGATCGTTCGGTAATCTATCGATATCGTGATATTCCAACTCCATCTTGGAGTTCACGTGATGGCCGAAATAATTAAATGTTTGTGCATTGTAAAATATGAAAATTTACTTATAAACATAAATCAGTTTACGCAAAAGTACCTTCGAGAGGATACGCATCCACACTATTTTCGCATTGTTGCGAATACACTGAAATTCAAAACGAAGACAAAGCTTTTTAGAATATTTTGACCTATCATGATAAGATCATCACCAAGAATACATAAACAAGCTATAAATATCCCTTAGCAGCTACAATCGCACATAGCAGATTGTTATGTGGATGAGTTGCATAAACTTCTGAGTTCAGTAAACGATTCATCTACCGTGCTACACGCTCTCAAATCACAATTCATGGGCCTTTGTTGTCTAGCAAGTAACGGTCGGATTCGGTCCAAAGCGAATGTGCTGTTTTAGTCGTACACTTTCGGTTTGTTCATCTCAAATGCATTATACAAGTTAACATCCTTCAGTGGTACATAAGCTTGGAAAGGACCAACAATAAAGTCAGGGGGTTGCACACCACTTTGGGAAGGATGAAACACCTTGTTTAGGAGAGAATTTATCAGACCTGCTTATGACGCACAGTTGTAGTGGTTACTGCCTTGATTCTCTCAATCGATTAGCAGCGCGTTTAGGCGGAAATGGCTCAGCTCATTAAAACAACACCCTCAGATTGGCAACTTTTGCAACATACGCCAATGTGACTAATGGAATGATTTCCTCTGCGAGCGTATCGTCGATATTCTGGGGCACTTTGGGGTGGTGTGAGTCGTGGATCTAGTAAGCAGTAGATCACTTGTGTTAAAGTTGAGCGGCTAAGGGATCATGACACCGCGTTGCTCAATTGCGATGTAACCTCACCCCAACATAATGTTGAGCTGGGATCTACAGAATTCACATTCCCAAAGTTTCACTAGATTTTCAATGTACTAAGTGCCCCTGATTCTTTTTAAGTAAGGGGATTCAGCAGAGGGCTTTTCCGGCGCTCAGAGGATCATGCTCAAAGGCCAAGTTAGAACTACCCTTTAGTATGATTGCTTCTTCCTGTACAGATTCCTTGGAATGAAACGATTTTTGATGACGTCTTAGAGCTAATCTATTGTGAAATCTCTCCTGAAAATTGCTTTTCCTATCTTCCTTATGTTCTGTCATTGTGATAGAAACCTGGTTGCAAAGGTATTTGAGCGGTTTATTTAATTGTGTAACAGAATTCTAAATTGTGAAACGTTTCAGTCGCAACTAGTCCTTGAGGTATTCAGAAACTCAGCTGACCACCGCTGTGTTATGCGAAATTTGCCAGAATAGTCATCTATCCCAGCGGAAGACTTGAGGAAGGTCAATCACCGAACTTCGAGCCTTATTGGATGGTTTGTTGTGGATTTGGTCAGGTCCATATAGTTCGGCTACACGATCGATACCTATCTTAACGTGGCACATCAAGCGGCCGTAGATCAACTGGACGCGTGACCCTTTGGTATCCAATACAGACTGTTTCTACACCGGTCATACGCATATTAACACCCCATCAGGGATCTCTTCTGTTTCCACTGTGGTTGTAGCTTGTTATGTTCCTCCTTATCATGACTGACTCCCTTGAGTTTGAGGGATTTGTCAGCTTCATTCCTCTAGTGATTTATTTTCAGGCTGGCTAAGTCCTTGGGACTCGCAGCGTCGTTACTCAAATTTGACTAACTTGTGTGAACGTTCTGTTTCTTTTCTGTGGGTTCTATTTTGGTTGATTCTGTCCTCCCGATTTCTAGCCAGAACACAAATCTTACTTTCTAGGTGAGCCCACTCAGTGTAACTTTTAACTCATCGTTCTGTTGTACTGTCAGATTTCCTCGAAATCTTCAGCCCTATTGTTTCCAAATCGATTTCTCTTTGATGATCGGCCATTCTGTATTACTTCCTCATGCGCTTGTAGGCATCTGCAATCATCGGACTGATCATCCGTCAACCAAATTGTGTGGCTAACTAGCTCTTGATGTTGGCAAAGAAGTTCCTCCATTTGGAAAGGGATATTTTTGCAGCCCTGATGAAAGGAACAAAGCGGTCATTCTATGATTATCAATCAGGAGACGAAATTCTCCAATCTAGGAGATGATTTGAGCGTACAGTTTTTTGAAGTATACCGGAATACTGGTGGCTTGGAAACACCTATTGATTGCTATTCAGATCGCTGCCAGTACGGTCGCCGAGCATGGCAGTCGGCTTTTAGTCACCGGTCTGTTAAAAGGCCAACTAAGCCATCGAAAGCAATTTCCTTAGAAAACCAACCGAAAGAAGTAAGCACGGATTACACTCATTTGCAAACCAATTTGGTTTTCACGAGGGACTCAGCTGAATCTTTCGTCTATGACATTCTACAACTGAGTGTGCTGCTTTATGAAAATATACTGCGATGTCTCGAATATCGTACCAACTGAAACATGGGGCGGCCTGTGTGCAGCACATTCAGTTGTAGAATATCATAAACGAGAGACTCAGTTGGGTCTCTCGTGAAAAAACAAATTGATACGCAAATGAGTTTATTTCTCGATTTGGGTTCAAGTAGAACATAAGGTTGACGGAAACTCGGGGACTGCGCATACCTGATGAGCCCCAAGAAGGGCGAAACAGGTGGTGGGCTGTCGAAGTTTTCAGCAACCTTGTGAGTAGTTTCCTTTATGAAAATAATTACAGATTACTTTGAAGCACAAAAACGCTCCGTTGATATCACGGTCAAGCTGTGGCACGATTGGCCAGGTTAACCAAGTTACATCAGATACCTATTGAAAACTATGTGGACTGAAACAAATCAGAAGTTAGTCCCCACCCACTGAGGCCGTCTTTCCGACCATGCTGACACGCTTGCAAGCCAACTACCAAGCGCCGTGCATAGATCAACAGCCATCTGCCCAACAACCAATAAACGTACTCAATTTATTAACTTTGCAGAATATTGCTACTGAATAATTTGTCTTATATTTGATGTCTTTGTGCACCGACTAGCATCCACTGTCAGCTGATTGAGTGGTCGAATTGTCAGCTTGATCTCACTGTATGCCGACTCCGGAAAGTAATGTAACCTGTACGATTTACCAACTTTCTGTGGCATTCAAAAATACCCTGAGCTGGAGTTTAGAGCAACAGCACACAATTATGGTGAATACACTCGGATTCAGGGACGTATTTGGTTTGTTTTACACATGAATAGCCAATCTGTCCTTATTTTTCTTTCCACCTACAAAGTGACGCCAGCCTGTAAGAAAACGAATTATTGAAGGTTGTTCAGTCCATTTTGTGACGCTTTTAGGTAGATTTGGGTAGACATGTCGAGTGGGCGGAAAACAATTGGAACCTAAATCTTGACGATAATCACTAGTTCATGCGTCTTAAATTTCTTCAAGAATTTATAGGGGAAAGTTAGTCTATGATATGAGTATTTCCTGTGAGCTATTGTTTTCTAGAATTCACAACTAAGGCAATAGTCCTCATTCCTGACGGCGTAGATTCAGGAAGATCATCTCGCCGTGTACTGGCTCCTCATTTGGCGTTCATTCATAAAATTGGTGTGGCGCTCTCTCATAATAAATAATGTGTTTGAATTCTAGTGAAGTTTTAGTTTGTCAAAGCGCGCGGCAAACCAAATTCTGTTGCTATGTAAGCGTGAAAAACCCACCAAGCACCGCTTTCGGTAACTGAAATTATCCGACCATTATACGGCTGTGAATCTTATAACAAGTTAAAGGGAACTCACGATGGTTTTAAAGTATCCAAAATGGTACCGAATGACAATTGCAAACACAAGACCAGGAGTTGACCAAGCTAGTAAACTATCTCCTCAATATCCAACCTTTACATTGGTAAAAGGAACTCAGTTATGGCTGGAACGTGTGGTGAAATAGGCGTTACCCTCAACTGTAGTCAACTAGTGCAGTACTTGGCGATGTGTGATCCCAGCTCTGCCGCATTTATACGTGCACTTGCGGGGATCAAGGGCATGTTAGACTATACATCACACTGGCTATGACGCAAAACAACACACAAACTAACGTGATTTGGAGTTACCTGTAGGGACAAGAAGCGCTTCTATTCCACCTGGGAGGCCGCTAACGAGTTCTAGGATTTTATTCACCAATTTTATAAGCTGATCTGCTTCCGCTGAGGCTGCTTTGAAGTAGAAATAGAATGGAATGACTTGGACATTGTCGACCATGGCATTACCACCTTGTTCCACCTGAAGCAGGTCATTCATTCCATCGAGCACACTGTGCAATATGAGAACCTTGAAACAGAATGAGAAAAAAACTGGTGACCTTATGGTTATTTTAAAAAGAGGGGCGTCTGTAGACACTAGAGATCCTGGTGAAAAAAAGTTTCATGGTTTGAAGATACTTTTGGTTCGACTGTGCTTTCTATATTTGGTTTTTTGATGCCTAGATGGATTAACTTCTGCTGTAGATAATAGCACATGTGTGCATTCTGTTTGCAGCATTCTACCTAAGCGGTCAAGTTCAGTAGGCTGACACAGTTGACAAGTTACTCGTTATCAGAGTGAATGCGGTCCCCGGCAGACGTATTGCGGGATTTACGTGTCAGTACATTCAATCTGGACAACAGGCCAAAACGCTTCTACGCATTCGCAAAAGGATGAAAAGTTGACATGGGATTATCATAGCAGCCTTGTCCTCAGAGGACAAGCCAATACGCATTCTGCGCTTTTACACTGAAGGACCAGGTGGAAGTTTCTCTTCAGCATGTATCCGCGGATAAACCTAGTAGGAACGGCCGAGGGAATGTCATGCACTCTAATGTGTGGGCTACAAAGTGCACCGTCAGAGGAGTTTCAGCGTTGGATTGAATGGCAATCTATTTGGGGCTCGCTCCAGTGTTACCACTATTTGTTTTCATCTTGGGCCGTAGCATCCTGTGGGCGCCTAGGTTTATTACAAACTGAAGGAAGCACAAGGTATAAGATAATAAAACCGGTTACGAATAAACAGAATTAATTGAAAATGCGGCGTAGGATTTGAACCACAAAGAGTACGGACATAGTTAATGACGTCATCCCTATAGTGTGGTGGCAAGACAACAGGCTGAGCAAATGCTCTACCCAAACCAGAACTAAGTGGCGTATACTAACACATGAGGATGTTGAATTGATGGATAGGTCTTATCGTATAACCTTTCACATAAACCATCTATGTGACACTCATTCAGTTGTAACCTCCCCTTGCCTCTCGGTGCAAAAATTGCGACCAATGGAGTGAAACCTACTGTTAGTTCAAAGTTAGATCAAAGCTTTTTGCCCTCATCTGCTTAGGCAGTAATCGCAGCTCACTGAAGAACCATACCATACCATAAGAAACGATGCAATCTAGGTTGCTTGTCAGAATGCCTGAATGGGACGTTGGACACTAGAAACTAAGAAATAACTCGAGTATTTCAAACGAGTTAATTTCCCAATTAACTCTACAGCGACCGTGATGAGATTACAAGAGAGTAGAGTAGAAACGCGAGACCCGTTCAGCTATAAGTGTACAAACTAAGGTATACTGACAAGGTGACTTTTCTGGCGAACGTCTCTTAATTGCCAAAGACTCGGCAGTTGAGGGAGAAAGTCACGACACACACACTATTATTTGGTATAAATTTTAATACCTGGGTGCTCAAGATCCCTGTTGCATTTTTGCTCAAACTTGCCGCATTTGAATAGGGTGTTTAATCTTGTAGTCATCATAACGGTGCTCAGAGACAAGTTCTTTCTAACTTCGTGACAACCGTGCTCCCCACAATGCCTCTTGTGATGGATTTCAAATATCAAAAAAAGTCAACAAAATCAAATTTCTTCGCCAGTCTTCGTTCATTCAGTATTAACTTCGCAATTCTACCTACATATAAAGGCACGTAACCGCTACCCTTCTCATTTATATACTGTCAGCATTTCGTACATCTTACAATGACACTTTGACAAAGTGGTAAGGCAGAGCAAGTTTTCCTAGCTGTTCCATGCTACGATATGTAATAAATGTGTTTAATCAAGATGGATTGGCCATGGAGCGTCTATGTCATAGTTAACACACGCTTTACGGTTGCTAGGACTCGGGTTATAATGCCATTCATATTTGCATAGCTCTCGCGGCTCACAAATACATCAGCTTGGGTGAAAATTCATCAGAGGGACTGCATTCTTCTTGCAGGCAGGACCTGTGGCCATGAGACACAATCCATTTTCCAAGGAGCAGCATCCGTCCGAAACTAACCAGAGAAAAATCATGGCTTACGAGATGGTCTATATAAACTTGAGGAAGGACTAGAATGGTAATGACCTTGACACTAGTGCAAAGGTGCATAATATGACCATCATTGCTAAACTATTCCAAGCTAGTTGCTGGTTGTTCTCGAATTCAGTCAGTCAGTGATTTAGAGTGTTAGAAGTTCAGAATATATGATACCTTCTTGATCCAAACTAAAGACTCTCAAGTTTTAGATGGTTTCTAAGTAATGTGTTATATATACATATTTTTGTACACTAATATTCGAAAGCTAACTTTCGATATTGTAATCCATTCACCTCACACAATCGTTACGTTTTAGGTTTATAACTGAGGCATGGATGACCAGAATACACAACACCCTGGCTTAAGGCAGCAGGTGACAAGAGCAGTGTGTGCCGGTCATTTTATGCTTAAACTTAATCCCATTTGCGTACATGTAATGCCAGAGGATATCTAATCACAGTAAAGTGTTCTATCTGACCCTGAAGAATTTTGTTGAAATGTTCTCATCTGACTGTTTGTATACTTTAATCCTTTCGGGAGAAACAGTAATAAAAACACCTTGGTGTCTTCTGGTCGTATTTTATTGAAATTGCCGATAAATGAGTATGGATAGTATGTGGATCAACTGACCGCAGGTTGTAGAAATTCTTCAATTTCCCTAGGCAGTCCAGCGGCCATAGCTAGTATTCGAACAACTGAAAGAAAATGAAACCAAGCTTGAGGAAAGAGTATGCTATCTAATAGCATCAGAACTTTGCTAGATACCTTTTTGACGCCTGTCTGATAAAGTGCATATGGAATAATCAGTAGCATGATAAACAGCATGTTTATTTTCACCCCTCTTATAAACGAAAAAGTATGGTGGTAATCTAGATTTGTGCTGCTGTTCTGTCGACCTAATCTACGCACAGCGCTCCATGTGAGACATAACAATGGTGGGAAAATTGTAAAAACTACTATCTACCACAAACCAGAGGACACAGGAGCCGTTTTAAACTACTCATGAGCACACCCAAAGACGTGTATGCCAGTATGGTCTCATCAATTTCAGTCGAATTAAAGCTCCAGAAAAAAACATTTCGCCCAGTTTTGGTGCAACTGAAGGATCCCCTTCTGGTCGCAGTAGGACAATTGCACTAAAGTTTACCCAGGGCAAACAACAGAACTACACACCAGAGTTGATGAGCATAAGAAAAGAATAAACAAACCACCAAGGAATGCGGATCAATACAAGCGGTGGTCGAAGACTCAGCGATGGCGATACATGCGTTAGACACAGGGCATAGAGCAGATCTGGATCGTCTAGATGTCTCAAGGAGGGGACTGCGTTCCAAACCACAGCAACTGATGACTGAGGCGGTGGAAACCGCCAAGCATCACATCGTGAGCAGAATCCAGGGTGCGGGATTATGGAGCACGGCCTTAGATTAGCTGAGCTAACACGTGATCATGTGGGCTTGTCAATAGACGTAGAAATGTTGGCAGTGAAAGGGGTGTATGAAATCTCAATCCGACAAAGTTTCACAGAATCTCTCTGTCTTACAAAACCATCGTAGGACTAGCTCACTCACACAGACGGAGAAAAGGCGTGAACGACGTTCAAGATAAATCTTCACGTGAAGCGAACCAGATTTAATACTTGCTAATCCGCCCTAGCAAACAAAATCCTTCAGCGGACACTGATTCAGCCTGACTTGGTTGACTGGTCCTCCTTTCACCTTAAATCCCAACGAACTTCGCAAGCTAGTCACTTGGCCTGACGAAGCTTTTACGTCAAAAGCGAACCCTGTCCAACTATAAATCTACCGATCGTTTCCAAAACGTTTCCAAAAATGATGATTTTTCAGTTGTTTTGAAGCATTCCTCCACCGACTGCACATGAAGAGGGCCTTTCTGTATTCCAGGGTTTGTGTACCATTTAACGTTTCCAAACTGCAGCACTTACTTTTGACTTCTATTGGAGCCTCCTTCTTGCATGCGTCCAGTGCAATCATGAATTGGCCTGTTAAATTCATAAAACGAAAATAAGAAAAACAGAACCAGGAGGACGGTAGTTAATTCAAAGTCAGTATGTTTGTAGCATTATGATCGCACGAAATATGAACCGTCATAACAAGCTTTACTCAATTTTTCCTGGCCGGTTTTTAGCACCTCACCTGGGAACGAGGGTGGAATCCATGATAGGACTGAAAATCAATGAATTGACAGGAAAGACAACTTGAAAGTCAACAAGGGTTACCAGTGCAACTGAGGCCTTTTTGGTAAAAAGAACATACGAAAAAATCATGCTGTTGAAGAAACTCAATTTCAAAGTCAACATTTTAGTTTTATCACCGCGCGAAGGTTGCGATATCCTCATTAAAAGCTAGCACTCAAATTTAACAGTCTCCTGAAAGTTGAGGCAATGCGTTTGCTTTGGTCTAAATAGAGCATTTTTAGAAGTCTATCCTCCTGTTCACGGCGCTTGGGTGAACCAAATTATGCTGGTAAAAACATAAATTACGGCGGACTGTGTATTATGCTCCTAATGGTTTTCACTGAAACATCTCCTTACTGATGCTCCAATCATTGAAATGTATGGTAACAGACCACAATGTTACCATATTTTGAACTCATTCAAGCCAGATTGCAAAAACAGAATGCCAAAGTGACAGTATTAACTCGGTAAGTAGTGTGAAGCTTGGAGAGAGATCGTCAAGGTCAGGGAACAAATTTGTGGCCATTTATTCAACCGCAGTAATGAACATCTCCTAACACGTTTCGAACAATATGGCTCTATTTTCACGTAATTTAAAGCGCCACCATATCACCATATCTATAATTCTGGTCACATCTGAAGAGAACATAGCCTTTTAGGGGACGAGATCCTTGTCAGAAGTGGCTTAAATTAATCGTTTTTTACACCTCAAATATTTAAGTCGTGCTTACGGGAGTTTGGTTGAATATATGTTCTTTTCTGGCAGCGGAGGCATATTGCAAGGCATCATGGCTACTATTAGCATCC